CCCCAAAACCCCAAAACCCCAAAACCCCAAAACCCCAAAACCCCAAAACCCCAAGAGACCGTTAGACTGTTGAAATTAGTCTAATTATACAATAAAATCTTCTGATCGAACAGTGAATCTATTTTCTTCAACTTTCGAGTATAGGAAATCTCATTCATTGGAGAGATCTGACTCACCATCATCGAATACTTCCTCCTCTTCAGTTTTGACATTGGTTGATTTTCCCGTTGTGAGACCCCTATCCGGATTGGTTTTCTCTACAACGTAATTCCAGCCGTCATCCTTAGATTTTCTGGAGTTTGAGGCTGGATTAAAGCCTTTTTCTCCTTCAATTTCAACAATGTTATTTCTTTCTGTTATCAATCTAGGTCCTTTCTTTATTTTTAAGTTGTTATTTTTCCGTATCATTTCCTAAGACTATCCTTGTGGGCTTGAATATCTTTAAAGGGGAAGTTTTGCGAGATCCTGTATGATATTCCTCTTCTATAATCACTGTGTCAAACTCGTTCTCTCCAATATGGCTTTTACACTTCTTTAAAAGCCCTGTGGAATCTATCTTCCTTCTAGTAAGATTTGGAGGCCCAGGCCCCGCAAGCTTTGTCTGAGAAGATACTTGGCTTGTCTTTACAGTTATAGGGGTCTTTGGAATCTGATGCTTTTTCTTAAAGATTCTACCCTCTCGAGTAGGATCAGGCTTCGCCTGGATTGCTACAAAAGAGGCTTTTACAAATGTTGATCAGTTCACTGTCCCTTTGGAAGTCATAGACCCAGAAGTGTACCTCCTAATCTTGTTTCTTGTCTTGGATTTCTTATCTGATATACTAGTGCAAGGATTATTCTTCCTTGTTTCCTCAAACATTGAATAAGGGTTCTGATCCTCGAATAATTTCGGATTTCTAGGCCCATTATTAAAAGCAAGTTTATCCCCTCCATAAGATTTTGATTTATCTCGACCTTTTGAGACTCTTGTTGACTTGGCCTTGCTCAATGGGATGACAGAAGGTTTCTTCCTTGAACTATAAATTGATTCTAGAACTCTACCTATTATTCCTCTTTGATTTCCCGATACTGTTATTATTAGAAGGGACACTGACTCGGTAATTCCTTTTAGGAATAAGTTTCTCCCTAAGTTGACCCTTTGGAGCCTCCTTTTTCTTGGTACCAAAGCTCTTCATGCGTTCATTATCTTCAAATTTCACTGTGAGACCTCTCTTAAGCCTTGGCTTGGACTCTAGAGGTATCTTCTTTTTGTCCGAATTGACCTCCACGTTCATTTCGGAGTCATTATAGTTAAATTTTTGGTCAGATCTAGGATAATTCACCTCTAATTGGGGAGAGTTAAAGTGAGGTTTCTCCTTCAAGACATTTAGTTTCTCATCTTTTCTTCTGTTAGAGTCAATTCCTTCTAAGAATTTCTTGGAGCTACAACTTTCTTGGTTTACGATCCTCATGTTCTGGCTAGCGTCACAAGGAGAGGAGTCTTCAAGCAAGGAGCAACCAGGTCCAGTTCTACTGGTTCTGTATGAGGTGTTACCAGTTTGGTTGTAGCTCTTGTTCTTCTTGAGCGGTGCATAAATCAAATTCTTCTTATATTCCTGATTTATCCTATTCTTTCGAAGAGCAGTGTTATCTACCTTAGCGCTTGTTTGGATATTCTTGAAGGAGATCCTTGGAGAAGTCCTTGGCCCAATATTTCCTCCTCTAAAACTGCTGATATTTCCAAGGTCCTGAGGCTGTCTGAAAGACTTTAATTGGTCCTCTCGAGTATAAATTTCAGTATTTTCTTTCTCAAGAGATAGGTTATCTGAAGCTGTTTCAATCAGAATCTCTCCTTTAATGTCTTCATCAATGTCACCGACACTGGGCTTTGTTTCCTCAGTAAAGTCTGTTCCAAGAATTTTAGTGGGTAAATATTGTGTTTTCCCTTGTCTTTTATTCCTAAAGGCTGCTCTTTTCTCATCAGCATTGTATTTCTTAGGTTTGGTAAACAGATTAACTCCTTCTTGTTCACTAGCTCTGACTTCTATGTTCCTTGAGCTTTGGGATTGAGCTAATCTGAGTTTAGGTGTGGCTTCAATACCCAACAAATGACCAAAATCATTAAAATTATACTTATCCAAATACTTTTTCTGTATATTTTTAGAATCAGTAGTATCTTCTTGTCATTCATCTGCTTGGTAATCTTCATCCTCAAAGGCTCGAGGGAGGTGTTTCATGACCAGTCTGAGATTGATGTCCTCAATAAGTGACAGTTGTTTTTCGCCATTTATCACAGTCTGCTGGATCAAATAATTTGTGGGAGTAAGTTTCTCTTGAAAATAACTCTCAAACTTCTCAATATACATACTAGAAAATTTCTCTATATCAGCAGTATTTTTGTTATTATAATAGTTGCGAAGCGCAGCCCGAAAGTGCTTATTCATATAGTTCCTCAGGTCTTGAGAGGATGAAGTGTTCCATACCTCGCAGCATTTGAAGAAGTACCCTACTTTCTCATAATCTTTCTCATTTTCTTCTAAAAGGTTATGATGCATTTTGAATGCTTTATCAATGAAGCACTCGAAAAGTTGGGTTTTAACACACCCTTTAACGAATTCATAGTGTTCAGGTTCAACACTTTCTAAGAATTTGTCTTTATCAAACACAGGTCGGGTTTCCTTTCTCTCCATGTAATCAATAGGGTCAACATCGTAGTTGAAAAATTTTGGAATTTTGGAAAAGAGCCTGAGAAATACTTTAAAGAAGAACTCAAAGTCTATTTTTAGCTGAGTATACACCATATAGTCCTCATGTTTTGGCTTTCTCTTGAGGCCAATCTTCTTCAGCATGAGATCTCACTGGGTTCGAAGTTTACAATTTTCATCCATTGGGGTTTCCAGGTAGTCTCTAAAAATCTTGAGAAATTTCCTCAGAACCTCTTCTGCGGGGATATCACATAACTTATTTTTACATATGTTGCTATCTTCGTTAAGGAATAAAATGTAAGCATAATCGCATATAAGGCCTTCATTTTCCTCGCATTTTTCCTTCCAAATTTTAGAATGAATTCCAGTCAGAGAACCAACAGGGTTGCCTATGATCCCACTCATTGACTCTATAATGCAAGGTACGATGGGTCCTACCCAGCTCATCGGCTTAATAAGTGAGACGAGGGATTTCATCACAATTGCCATCTCTGCGATATTGTCATCAATTATGAAGACTGGCCTCTCATGCATGATTGCTACAATGAGCTCAAGAATCCTATAAGGCCGGACTTTTAGTAACAAATACTCATATGAGAAATTCTCTGGAATGAACAATCCTTCTGAGCCAAGAATATTTTGATACCGAATAGAGTAATTATCTGAGTTTTTCAGTTCCAAATTTTGTAAATTTCGGGGTAAATTTAAGTGGTAAAACATCAAGCTGATGTAATACTCAAGTTGTTCTTTTAGATATCAGTGGAAGTTCTCCTTTAAGTCAATCTGAACTGACATGGCTACACTGAGAATATAGTTCATAGGATCATCAGCTACAGTCTCTAATGACCTCATGTTGTTCTTGATGATCACATTTTTGAATATTAAATTCAAGAATTGTCTGTGAGTTCTGAACATTCATTCATCCCCCATCAAGCAGATTGCCTTGGGGACGATCACTGGAGTGCCTCCATCGATCAGAACTAGCTCCTTAAATAACAAGAAACTTCAGTAAGTCCTCGAGGAGTTCGTATTCGTTAGTATCATATAGAAAAATTGAGAGGAATACAATTTCTCCTCATCTGTTTTATTATCAAATGGCTTTGCTGAAATGCCATTTGGGAAAATAACTTCACTTAAAATCGGATATGAGCTTCTCCCATCCTCACTGTCACTGTCAGGGTAGAAGGCAATAACCTCAGCTGGCTTATTTCTGATTATGAGACATATGTTTAGCTCCAATTATTAGTAATTTGCGTACAATCGGATGATACCCACAATCCTCTTCGCTTCAGTCTATACTGGCGTTCATTTGAATTTCTATTGTATCTTCGAAACCGATCTGGGGAGAAGGGTGACTGCAGCTCCTCATACTTGAAGCATGTATATCACTGGAAGTTTTATCACTAGAAATAGTTTTCCTTTCTTCCCCACTAATATAACTTAAGATGCTAAAGTCGTTAACATTGCTTAAATGAGAACCCCTATTTTGTTTAAAGTTTGACCGTTGCATATCAGAGCCTAAATTATGGGACTTTGAGTCCTCCTCTTCTCGCGAGGTATAAAAGAGCTCAGCATTGTCACCAGCAAGAGACCCAAATAGATTCTTAGACTTCTGCTCCATGTTTAATCTGTTTTGAATATGAATATAAATTTATAATCTCAACAGTTATAAGTTCTTTTGGGGTTTTGGGGTTTTGGGGTTTTGGGGTTTTGGGG